AAGAGACCGAGTCTAAGCGTCACATCGTGCGATGAGAGGTCAGTAGAGCACGACCCATCGGTCTGTTACAACAGATAAAGGAAAGTATTTATCCTAAGAAGAAGAAGGAGTCCACAATAAGGACTTATTTGGTAACTCGAAGGTTACGATTGAAAGTACAACATAGTACGATAAGCAGATGCAAGATTGGGCATCGTCTGCGGTCAAGAAAGCCATAGAGTTAAATACTCTTTCGAGGAAACATAGAAGTTACGGTTATTACCTAGGATGAAGAGATAGCGTATGGAATCATTATACAAGTCCTATTTTCGTTGATGATTCCGGGACGTAATCATCCTAAGGGGGAGATAATTGTAACGTCCGTAGATCTGGGCTAGTCAATTTAGAGACGATAAACGTCAAAAATGACTTTTTGATAGAAGATTATTTAGGATGAATAATCTTAACTAAGTTGTAGTATATGTTACAAAGATTCCGTACATATAAAGAAAGCCGAAATCCAAGTTATAACGAAGAAGTTATGACCTGTCGAAGTTTCGCGACAGAACCGACACGGCACTGTATGACGTAAAATACGAATTTAAGATAGAGCGATATTTAGCCTTAGTGATGTAAACGAGAATCGAAGATCTAGTTGTTAGTAGTCCAACAGTAAAAAGACAGACGAAAACGGACGTCGGATGAAGAAGTTATGATTTTATGACGGAGTTTTCCTGTCCCGGCCTACTAAAAATATTATAAAAAAAATAAAGTCAGAATTAGCCGACGGAGTCTAAATGAAAGTTGTAGAGCATAGTCTCACCTACGCGTGGATATAAAGAACGTCGAAAACGGAGCTCGTATGCGAAAGTTATGAATTTTTGAAGTTCGTGGCACGCATACCAAAGCTTATCTGAAGAGTACGTCCAGCGTACTCGATGTACGCCCAACGTACTGCTTGTAGAGGGAGTACGCCCAGCGTACTCTGAAGTTACGCCCAGCGTAATCGCAGGGATCAACCCCTATAAATAGAACTCAAGCGCTGCCGAGTTTTGTTGCTCAAAATCTTTCTTTCTCTCCCATATTTTCCTCGTTTTGCGTGCAAGAAATACCCCGAAGCCCCGGTATTATGCCCGAGACCCGAGGCAAGTTCCGAAACCCCGAAGATCCCGAGAAGTAAAGTTTCCGAGCCGAAAATCTACCCGCGAGAAGCCCGGTTTTCAAGAAAAGCATCCCGGTTTTATCGGAAAAGATTATTTTAAGAGACGAGGTGCTGTCCGATCATCGTCTTATCAAGTGAGTGTGTAGTTACTTTCTTCTAACACATAAATATGAAGTATTTGTTATGAAATATGTGCTATGTGTTTATATATTGTTGTTTATTTGAGATGAGTGTGGAATGGATGTTTTATATAGTTTTTAAATGAGTTAAACTGTATATATCTACAAATATGTTGGGTAGAACAGGGGTAGATGAGATAGTTGGTGTGTGATAAAAGATGAGTTGGATAATGAGAGAAGAGGTGATATAGATCTTGAGATGAGGGTGACAGGTGGAAAATGAGTGAAACCTTTACCCAAACGATGGCCCCCGTCATTCAGCAGAGTAGGGATGACAACCACGGACTATCCTAGACAGTCAGTGGAACACTAGCAGGCTCGCAACTTGTAGGTGTTGTGGACTTGATGTTCACCGTTGTACTCTAAAAAAACCATGGTTCTAAAAAGCTCGCCATGGCTCCGCCATGGCGCGCCATGGCTCCAAGGCTTGTATGTGCCGCCAAGCTTTATCAAAACGCCGCCTTGACTCATATATGTGTATAAAAATGAATAATAGTAGAAAATACATATAAAAATATGAATTATATACAAAATTGTCGCCTTAAGTCACGCCTTACAAACGACGTGGCTCGCCAAGGCTCGGAAAAGCTTGAGGCTTGACATTGCCGCCAAGTCACGCCTTACGTTATTTAGAACCTTGAAAAAAACCCATTGATATGTATTGCTAGAGGAGTCTCGGAACCAATACTGTCAATAAACGAGATAAACTTGTTATTAATACGGGAGTATGGATTAATACATAGTTATTTGTCCCTAATCCGGGAGTATGGATTGGGCACAGTTTTAGATCCGGGAGTATGGATCATATCAGGATTTAGGTATAGTTAATTGTCCCTATTCCGGGAGTATGGATTGGGCACGGTTATTGATCTGAGAGTATGGATCAGATCAGGAGATTAGTTTTAGATCTGGGAGTATGGATCAGGTGAAGAGGTTAGTTTTAGATCCGTGAGTAGGGATCAGGTAAAGAGGAAAGTTCTAGATACGAGAGTTTAGATCGTGTCGTTGTGAGGATTGATGGGGTGGGATAAGAGTTGCTTTTATATGGCGAAATTATATAAGTTTGTGAGTTCTAATATATATATATATATATATATATATATATATATATAACATTGTGGGATGAAAACCCTATATGCTCACCAGGCTCCCAAGCCTGACCCACTCAGTTTTCTTTGTATTACAGGTTATGGCACGAGAACATAAGTTGGCTGACATAACGAGAGATTTTGGATTATAGGCCAGTAGTTATGAATAACTATTGTAAGGTCGATTTTGTTCTGTTTATGCTTTTGGTCTGTATTGAACATGACATCCCGAGATTTTGTTATATAATGAAAATACATTTCTTTAAAGAAATGCTTTGATAAATTCTTATCATATTTTGTTTTGGGAACAAATTCCGCAACCGTTTTCTTTAAACGATTACTCTGATTTTAAAACAAAGCATAAACAAATCGGTCTTTTCTGGCCGAGAAATTGGGGATGTCACAGAAAGCAATAAAAGATAACTATAAAACACATACCAGTAACCACATCTAGCGCTGGACGGGCGTCATCGGTGGTCAGCTGAAATGCCCTGCTCTTCACCACAGGAGCCCACGCCTTGCCCTGGCGGCCATCAGTAATCCTCAATGTGGCTGGCGCAGGCGTCACCACATTTCCCCCTGACAATCTTGAGCATTCGGCCTTTTTATGGCCGGTCTGATTGCAATGGAAACAAATCAAAGCACTCCTAGGACAGTCCCTACTCATGTGGCCCGACTGGCCACAACTATAACAACCTGAACCGACACTCCACATGCCCTACCGTGCGGCTTGCTGCACTTTCCACAACAAACCCGACCCTGATGGCCTCTAACGCGAGCATTAGAAGTCTTGGGCCTCTTTTCTTGGCCCACAACTGTCTATACCTGCTCCAGCTTCCGCTTCGTCCGAAGCTCCAACTCAATCTCCCGCTCACGGGCCTTCTCGATCATATCATTCAGGGTCTTGCACCCTAAAAAGCTCACGAACTCCCTGATATCCTCCCTCAACATGTCATGGTATCTCGTCTTCCTCATCTCCTCATTCGCAGCGTACTGCGGGACCAACAAAACCCTCTTCCTGAATTTGGTGGTAATCTCCGCCACAGTCTCAGTAGTCTGGCGAAGGTCTTGGAACTCCCTTGCCAGCTGTTGAACCTCAATCACTAGTGCAAACTCCCTCTGGAACCTCTGGACAAAATCCTCCCATGTCATGACTGCCACTGCCGATGACCCTATTGCTCGGCTAACCTCCTCCCACCAGTCTCGTGCTCGGTCCCTCAGCAGGAAGGATGCAAATCCCACATTTTCCCCCTCAGGGCAAAAACTCGTCCGTTGAGCATTCTCCATGTCAACGATCCAGCGTCGAATAGCGATGGGGTCCTTATCCCCAAAGAACTCAGGAGCTCCACATGCCTTGAACTCCCGGAATGAGGGAGCTCGAGCTCCTATCTGACCCGCAACAATCTCAGCTCGAAAGGTCTTGAGACTCTCATCCATCAGCTACATAATCCCCTCCTTGATGGTACCGAACAACACATGGGTAGCATCCAAGATACCGCGAGTAACCTCAGCCAAAATGAACTCACGCAGACGCTCATCAATCGGTTCTGTGCCGGAGCTAGAACCTGAATCAAAACCAGAGCCAGAACCTCCTCGAGTAATCATCACCATCCTCCAAACTAAAACATAACATATACGCAATCAGCAAAGGGTTCAAGGGGATTCCTCTACACAGGCCTCCTTAGAGTTTCCAAGTCTGCTCTTGTCCCAAGTATAGGTCATGTGCTTCTAGTAGTACGTTCCTAATACTACCTTTCACACCTACCTCTACCTTCCTCAAGGCCACTCCTAATTCCTCTAAGTCGCCACACTAAAACCATATACCAATCCTATGCTATACAACATACATATCTGTTGTGATATGCCAGAGATGATTGGGTCGGGATTGCCGGTGAACCCCGTGAAAACGACTTCCCCTGATATCATAGTACAAAACAGGAAATAGATCGTTAGTCGACGTCCGAGAGGGGTTCCCGGGACGAAGCTCCGACGATCAAGTTAGTATGAGATCTGAGAGAGATGGTAATCGATTACAGAAAAGAGAGAATCCCGACCCCTTCCTTGTGAGGAAGAATGATCCTTTTATACCTGTTTAAAAGGCGCGTCCCTCAACTGATTCTGTTGAGGATTCCCTCGTGAGGTGCAACGTGGCGGACCCATATTGGAGGGTCCTCCGTCACATATTTTGCCTCATTCTCTCCTTGGTTGGAAGGAGATCTTCTCAACGTTTACGAAGATCGTGGCTATCGTCTAATGGGCGAGTGGGACTCTCTGATTGGTCCCACGTTGGTCGGGGTATAATTTCCTAGAGAAGGGGTTAAGGCGCGGCTTTGCACCTTAACCGCCATATCAGCGCTCTACGCGTTGGCGAAGGCCCGAACTTGGCTTTAGACTGGGTTCTGACTAGGCCAAGCCCGGTGTTAGTTTGACTTCTTTTTTGACGTTCCCCTAAGGGATACATTAAAAAAAATCCCTTAGACTCGTAGGTGTATGTGTCAGCTTGACAGCGTCGCCGTTCGAGTCTATATCTCAACACGTGTGTAACAACCCAATTTTCAAAAGATTTTTTTTATTTTTTAATAGCCAAAAACACTTTCCATAAACCATAAAATCTCAAATACAATTATTTTCAAATTCATATCAATAACAATGTTATTTCAAATCATCAGAGTGTCCCATAAAAACGCCTGAGAGAGAGTGCATGCCGCGTCATCAAGTCTTGCCCTTACCCTTGGGATCAGATGTACCTGAAACAAATCCACAAACAGTAAGCTAATGGTTAGTGAGTTCCCCAGAACATACCCCACACAATCTACATAATCACATAATCATATTGGCTATAAAAGCTACATAACCACATAAGCCATGCATACAACATATAGGGATGTCGTGGGCTCGTCCCCAGGGTCTTACTCCAGGATGGCATGGGCTCCCCACATGGTCTTACACCTAAGTGTCATGGGCTCTCCCATGGTCTTTAATAGGAAAGCCATGGGCTCTCCACATGGTCTTACATCCAAGTGTCATGGGCTCTCCCATGGTCTTTTAGTAGGAAAGCCATGAGCTCTCCACATGGTCTTACATCCAGGTGTCATGGGCTCTCATATGGTCTTCCATACAAGCATACCACATATACCACTAGCATACTTCCTAGCACATACCAACTAACATGCCACATATTACCACTTCAGCTAAGATACCACATATCATAAAATGGGCCGGCCTTGGTGCCTTAGACCCATTGGTATGGTGAGGAGACTCACCTCTCGTGAATGCTGAACTGACAAGATAAGCTCTGATATGTCCAACGGACAGCTCCAACTCAACTGCCTATGAGCATCATGTGATTAACTTGTCACAATCCCGAAATACCATAAATACCCTCAAGGTCAACCCTGGTCAAAGTCAAAGTCAACAGTCAAGGTCAACAGTCCATGTTGACCTTAACTCGTCGAGTGCATCCAACAACTCGTCGAGTTACCTGAGTAACTCGTCAACTCGCCGAGTTACCTGTGTAACTCGTCGAGTTCCTCAATGTCCAGAAGACAGAAAACTCATGTAGATCGAAAACTCCAATCCTTCACAGAAATCATCGGAATCTCGAAAACGGGTAAACCCTACACGACTCGTCGAGTTGGCTAAGGGACTCGACGAGTTCCTTCAGTTCTTTTTGTGTTCAAACGTTTTTAAGCTACCCCAAAGCTCTAGATTGCAGATCTAGCCTCCTAAGGCATGGTTTCCACGTAAAGATGCAAACTTTACGTGCATGCAAGCTCTTAATGCCAAAACCAAGCTAAGGGAGGGGTTTAAACCAAAGAGAAGAGCCAAAGCTTAATGCTTTCTGTAACTTTATAACTCTAAGGACTTAGAGGAGTCCAGACTCCAGATCTGAAGTTGCAACTCCAGATCTTACCCAACACCCAAAAAGCTTCACAAATATACTAAAAATGGCCTAAAACCCAAGAAAAAAGGGAATCTAATGCTAGAATGCTCAAGGTGACAACTTGTTACCTTCAAATGGATGCCCAAACGTTGTAGATGATGGATCTACAATCTCCTTCCCGTTCCAAGCTTCTCACCCTTCAAACTCCTTCAACAAAATGCACCAAAAGCACCCTTTTAGTCTCACAAGCACAAGGAAGCAACAAGAACGGCTAGGGTTTCTTCTCTGGGTAATGAAGTGGTAAGGGAGGCCACAAGAGGCAGATTAAGTCCTTTATATAGGGTATAAACCCTAAAAATTAGGGTTTTCCTTTACAATGCCTACCCGTCGAGTCGGGCGTTCCGACTCGTCGAGTAGGATCTAAATCCCGCGTCCTCATAAATGACCTCTACTCGACGAGTTGGAGCTCCCCAACTCGTCGAGTCCCAGCACAAAATCCTAAAACTTATAAAATTAAATAATACATGGAATAGGTGTTACAATGTTGCTATTTTATTTTAAAAATATAAGTATGTGGTTTTGAGTTAAAGATAAAAATATGTTTCGATTTTGATTTCATAATATAAGTACAGTAAATTTTATATTGCTTCGACATAAAATTTTGGTATATAAATTTTAAAAAATTATTTAGTTTTGTTAAATTTTGAATATATTCCTTAATAAAACATAAACCTTTTAAAGCAAAATTAAAGACAAAATTGCTAAAATGGTCCTTGTGGTTGTCAAAATTTTGTGATTTTTATCCAAAAAAATTTTGTAATGCAAAAGTTATCCAATTTTGGATATATCGTGCATTTTTGGTCCAACAATGTTAACTTTAACAGTTTGACTGTTAACTTTTTTAAAATGATAATTTTATCCTTAACAACCATTTATGCAACCAAACTACAATGACCATTTCTGCATCTCCTCTTTTTAATTTTATTCAATTATTATACATTAATTATTTTAATTTCTTTTTATAGATTACTTTTTTTTATTGTATTATTATATATTAATAAATTTTATTTTCAATATATAATATTAATATATTAATAAATATTACTTTATTGGATTATTAAATAAACTTAGTAAATTATTTTTTAATTTCTTTTTTAATAAACTGTTTATTATTTATTGCATTATTATATATTAATAAATATTATTTTAAATATATAATATTTATATATTAAATTTTAATTTCTTTTTGATTGGATTAATTTTTTATTGGATTATAATTTATTAATAATTATTGATTTTAATATATAATAGTTATATATTAACAAATATTATTTTATTGCATTACTATTTTTTAAATTGTTTTCTTTATTATTTTAATAAAAAAAACCCCAAACAAATTATCACCCACCCCACATCTCCTAATTTGTTTTAAATATTTGGAAGATAACATATCTTGTACAACACCACCACCATCACCCAGTTCGGCAGTGGTGGGATGATGAGATTTTTTTTATAAATAAATTAGGATGGTGGTGGTATTATCCAAAAAATTAAAGAATTAATTCAAATAAAATGAAATTAAAAAAAATAACTAAAAGAAATTAATAACCTTAATAAAACAACTCATTTTCATAATCTTCGTCTTCAAAATCTTCCTCCCCATATCCCTGATTCTCGTCATTAGATATTTGGTCACACATATTTGTAGTTGAGGCTAGGCATAGTCGTTCCTCCCGAGTTACAATAAGGGATGACTCAAACCGCTCTTCAACCTAAAAGATTTCATCTGCTTCCATTTCAGCTTCGTTGACTTCAAAGCCCCCTCTTGGTTTTGTCTTGATAATCGTCCACGTATCTTTTGTCTTCTTTGTCACTGAAGGATATGGTGTATAAACATTTGTTCTACTTGTGATGCCAAACAAAAACGGTCGTCAGTTTGAAGTCGAGAGTTAGGTTTGACATGAATCAACTTGTTTTTGTTGACTATTACACCGTTTTTGTTACCAAACCAAATACAATTAAACAGTACAACAGTTCAGGGTTCGTTGTCATAATATTCAATCTCTAAGATCTCTTGCAATATGTTGTAGTAGTCTGACTCTTGTTCGACATTATATATCTCCCTCGTCATATATATACTCCAAAGTTATTCATCGCACAACCTCACCATATAGTTTGTATTGATTCTTTTTTTTTTGGACAACACCACCACCATCCTAATTTATTTTTAAAAAAAATCTCACTAATCTCATCACTGTCAGACTAGGTGATGATGATTGTGTTGTCAAAAATATGTTATATATTTTTCGTTTAATTCCGTTTAATATGACATTAATTTTGTTTAATTCATTTTATATAAATATATAAAATATTTTTATATTTTATTAAATAAAGTGAATTAAACGGAATTAATAGCATATTATTCATATGATTACTTATCTTAGCATTTGTAACAGCAGAGTTAAGTATTAGCTAACATAATTTTTTTTATTTTGCTTTGAAAAGTTTATGTCTTATTAAGGAATATATTCAAACTTTGATAAAACTAAATAATATTCTAAAATTAAATATCAAAATTTTATATCGAAGCAATATAAAATTTATTGTACTTATATTATAAATCAAAACCAAAATATATTTTTATCTTTAATTCAAAACCACATACTTATATTTTTAAAATAAAATAGCAACATATCATTATATCTATAATAATGTATTTTTTTTTATAACAACGCATCATGTTTTTTTCTTTTTCATAAAAATAAATATATTTGTATAAGATAAATGAAGATAAATCTTAAAAATTACATCATGTAAAAATTCAAAAGTAATAATATAATGTTTATGCTACAAAAATTATTTATATATTTAAAATATATATAATAACAAAATTGTGAAAAAAGAGGGCCGAAAATGTAAAAAGAAAAAAGTGAGAGACTACAATTGTAATGTTTCAAATGGTTCTTGTGTAAAATTTCACAAATGGTCCTTAAGGAAGTTTCATAAAATGGCAGAAATAGTCCTCATCCAAAAAAAATTCAACTTAACGGATTCATCTAACGGACATACACGGTAAAGACCATTTGTGTGCACGGTTTGCTCCATAGGTACCATCTCAGGGAAAAGCGTTTTGTAAGGACAATTTCAGGAAAAAACGGTAGAGCTAAAGGACCATTCGTGAAATTTTTTCTAAAAAATATTTATATATGTTCATTTTTTATGCATGTTTTTGTAAAAAAAAAAGTTATCAATTATTTTTTTTCAAATTTGTTTTATAACTTTATTAGATATTTGTAATCATGCATGTAAGATTATTATGAAAAATAAAATATGATAAATTGTTTTTAAAAAAAAATTCCTGTTTACAACTATGCAAAAAAATAAATTTAGAAAAAATGTTGTAAAAAAAACCTTGCAAAAGTAGTTGTAAAATAATTGAGGCAAAAAGTTATAAAAAGTGTAGTTTTGTAAAATAACTAATTTTTTAAAAATGGTTTTTTTAAAATACTAAAGTAAAAATAGTTGTAAATAAAGTATTGTAAAAGACAATTGTTAAAAGATTGAGGAAAATTTGTAGAACGTTTGGACTAAATTCATATTAAAATTTTAAATTTGGATTAGACTGATAAAAAAAAAAAAGATGGGACAACCACTAACCAGTAACTAGCAATTAGCAAGTGACATTGACCAATTTGGGACAATATACATGGTTGGTTAAATCTTAATGTAATAAAGTATTGATGTCCTAAAGACTTTTGGAATAGTTGGTTTAAATTATATATGTTGTTAAACTGTAAAAAATAAATCCTATGTAGGTTCTTTTTTATATATAGATTTACAAAAACAACCTTATTATTAATTAGTTTACTACATATTTTATAAAAAAATGTGTTCTAAACTATGATAAAATGCTAAAAAATTTAATAAGCTTAATTTAATAAAATAAATTTACTATACACAATCACTTGTTATCAATTTAATTCATATAATAATATCACAAGCAATAATATTAAATATTGTTCAGTATTTGGATGGGTTGAACTGTATATCTTTAATTGCTTCCAAATTGATATTGATTAGATGCTTCCAAATTGATATTGATTAGATGTTCTTTTCTCAGCAGTCTATACTTATAAAGTTATAATACTAGTAATAAATAATGATGTTCTGAAACTGACTTTTTTTTAAATAAATTTGAATTCACAACTAAATCATTTATTTTTTATTCCTTTATTAGAGTTGACAAAGATAACAAAAGATTAGATCGTCTTTGGATTTAAACTTGCTAACTCAAGCTTGTTAATGTTAGAGTTATATATATTTTCAATATCTAGACTCTTGAAAACTGATTTGATTGAATTTATTTTAAAGGGAATTTGAATTCACAACTAAATCATTTATAGAATGTTCATAGTCCAAAAAAGGTACAAGAATTAAATGCTCTCCTAACTCGATAACAAGATCTATGGAGATATCATGATGGAGATCTAAGCCAGGTCTATAAGAATTATAAGAGGGTAGTGAAAGCATTAGTCATGATTACTGGTATATAATATTATATATATGTTCTTCTGAAGTCATTAAGCAAACAAATAACAAAATAAATTAACTCTGGACTCTGGAGCTATAAACACTTCAGAAACAAATTTCAAAACTAGAATAGAAAAAGGATGATGATGTCATACTTGGAAACATATGAACTCCACAGCATCTGACAAAGATTTCAATTTGCATGCTATCTTTAAAGGGCTTCAGCCATGACTGCATCATAAGTTTAATGACCAAAATTGCAGGCCTGAACAAACTCCATATCGTAGTCAACATACTTTGTCCAAAGTGGACGAAACTGATTCATGGCAATATCAAGCCATGGTTTCATATTCCCATTGAAATGAACAACTGCAGCATTATGAATCTCCTCCATGCTTATGCTTGGATTATAACCAAGCCCAAGAACATGCCATGATTTCTCCAATGGTTTGGTTGTGGAATAGAATGTGATCAGACCAGGTGGCAGTGTCCCCAATTTCCATAAAGTTCGGTTTTTCATTCTGCAAAAAAACATGAAAATCACCATTCCTATATGGTTACAAAATATGAAACAAAGAAAACTTTCATGAAAATTGAAAACCTCTATCTTACCAGATTTTGCCAGTAATGGTACTCCTCAGTGCACTTCTCCCTCCTCCAAGCATCCAAATCAAAGAAGTTCATACCATAAGCCCAGGCACAGGCCTTGGGATTAAACTTCTCCTTGATTAAAGGGTGGGAAAAGTTCATGTATTGTGAATACCTATGGAAAGACCCAAAACAAGTCTCAACAGCTCCATTCACTTTTCCATCCATGTCTATCTTCCAAAGTCCAGTTAAATCCTTCTGAACAATAATATCATCATCCAAGAACAGAACCCTGTGCAGTGTTGGGTACATCTCTGGTAAGTAGAATCTCAGATGATTTAAGATGGAGAGATACTTTGGGTTCCTAAACTTCATGTTGGTTGTATCCTTTGTTGCGTTTTCAAGCTTATTCTCAAAGTAAAACCTTTGCAAATTTGCAGATTCTAGCTGTTTTAGCACTGGGACATATGAAGAGTTCAAGAACTTGTAATCCTCCACTGCCTTTATTTCAATATGAGCACCGTTATATTCTTTCATCTTGAACATAACTTGCATTGCACCTAGATTCATCTTATCTGTCACAACATGAAAAACGTGCTTCCATGGCTCTTTTGTGTTCTTCACAGCTGAATTGACTACAACTGAAGCAGCTATCACGTTATCAGAAAATATAGCATAGTGATAAAGCTTGGGATCATCAAATTCAGCCGGTCGTGGTTTGCCTTCATCAGAATACTTATCTGGATGCGCGATTCTCTCTTCCATCAACCTCATTGTGAGGCAGTGCAAACTTTTAGGTATTGATTTTGCGGCGATCAAGCTGGAGAAAGCACCTTGCTTCTTCGCCTTGGTTAATTGCTCATTAACAGAGAATATCGAATCTTTCAGCTTCTGAATCTTAAGCTGATTATCGAATGACTCTTTCGCATCGGTAATCACTTGTCTGGTCACCTTAATCCGCTCCTTCACCTCCTTCTCAAACAGCCGAAGTGTCGGCTCGTCGATTGAGTTTGCATCGGAGTCGGACAATGCTTTGTAAGCAGGTTTCGATAACAGATCTGTGTAGTTGCGTGAAAGATCGGCAAAAACCCTAACGAGTTTCGAATTTTCGAGCTTCAGTTTACGAGCGTAGGTAGCGTAAGCCAGAGCTAGCGATCTGTGATCATCTGCTTGCTTTCGGATCTGATCAAATCTAGGTTTTAGTGGATCGGATTTCAATGCAAGTACAGACCTCCGAGACGATCCAGCTACGTTCTTATTAAAGGAAAGTCCCTGATTCTACAATGAACACAATCAATTAAGACATTATTAATTACGCATTCAATAAGTTAACAATTATGTATAAGGAAAATGTACGAACAATGTTGGAATCAGAAGAAATGACGTCGGAGGATGAGGTAAAGGTGAAGGAAACAGTGAAGAAGAGGACGACGGCGACGGTGATAGCTGATGCTAGGAACTTGAATGTAACACCGGCAACCGCAACCGGCGGTCGTGTCGATGGACCATTAAATCCAAAGTTTCGTTCGGAGTTTGAAGTGCGAGAGCTCCGAATGCTCCCGGATATCGCCATCCGTCCCGAAATTGAGTAACCGACACAATATCCGGCGAAAGCGTGTTGGTATTTACACACACACTGAAAGATGAGGAAGACTGGTCCAGCCGAGCGTAGGCGATTGGGAAAACGATATCTGACGGTGGGAACACGGTGTTAATTGTCAACTAATCGGGTCGGATCTGCCATTCTGCCTAATATATTTAAAATTTGGATTTTTAATAGATTATGTTTGATTTTATTAGGTGTTCACTAAAATCAAATATCAGGTCAAGTCCAAAAAATTTGATTTCTTTATAGAAAAGTGATAAAAAAAAATTAAACAGAATAATAAAAACCGCAATTGTTTACATAAAATGTCGGGAAACTGATCATTGTTTACACTTCTTGATTCTATACCGTAATTTTGAATTTGTGTCGGTGATCCTCATAAAAGTATATATGTTATCGGTAATAAAGATAAAGTTATGATTATTTTTTAATAGAAAATGACAAACATAAATATCTTATTATAATTTTACTTATGCCAAATAGAATCCAGTCATCGGGTCTTGATGTTGTATTTGGATCGTGATATGTGATATATTAGAAATTTGGGGTGTAATAGCATTTGGAATTATCAGAATCGTGATTATCACTTTCAAATTGAAATATTTGGGTGGTACTTCCTAATCTTCAATTGGATAAAACTCAGAATGAGAAACTATAATAAAGAACTGGCTTGTTATGAAATTTCATGAGTACCAGATTTTTGACCAAAAATAGATTAAATGCCTCTCTTATCTAAAAACTGTCACTAAACAGTTTTATATCTGAAAACTGTCACTAAACAGTTTTATGTCTGAAAACTTTCACAAGACAGTTTCCAATAGTAATAAACGGTCACAAATTCGAGTTTTCTTATAATCGTCACAAATTCGATGTAATGCTCGTGTTTCTAAGCTAAGCATTAGCATGATGATGTAATAGTTAAGGTCAACAATTGTAACCTGATTTGAAGTAATAAAAATGAATTATTTGAATATTATGTGAATTATGTGATTTTATATGCATTATACTTATTTTATAAGATATAATAAAAATTAAGAATGACAATAAGCGTCAAAAATAAAATAATAGATAAACCCAATATCTATGAAGAAAGTTGTAGTGGTCATAACAAGGATTCCGAAGATATAAAGAACGCTGAAATCTGAGTTATAACGAATAAGTTTTGACCTGTCAAAGTTTCGCGACAAAACCGGCACGACGTTGTGTGACGTAAAAATTGAGTTTACGATAAAGTACTTTTTAGCCTTATCGATCTACACGAAAGTCGTAGTATACGTTAAACCGAGAACATGCATAAAAAGAACGTCCAAATCTGACTTCGTATGAGGAAGTTATGATTTTTCCAAGATTTGGCATAGCAGTATGCAGCCCGGAGTTCGAATATTAGATCGACCGATTTTTAGCCGAAACAACCTAAACGAGAATCGAAGATTTCGTCAATAGGAGCTCAATGATAAAAAAGACAGATGAAAACGGACGTCGGATGACAAAGTTATGAATTTTTAACGGACTTTTCCTGTCCCGGTCTGTTAAAAATATAACTTTAAAAATAAAGTTAAAATTAGTTGACGGAGTCTAAACGAAAGTTGTAGAGTACGTTTCTACCTACGCGTGGATATAAAGAACGTCAAAAACAGAGCTCGTATGCGAAAGTTACGAATTTTAGAATTCGGGAGTGTGAAATGCGAAGCTGCTTAAGAACGCCTCGCGCAAGTATTGGGAACGCCCCGCGTTCTCACGTGCATGGTCTCGGATTAGCCACGTCGGCCCCAGCAGATTTTGGACACATGTCCACTCTACGCGCTGCGTAAGAGGGTACGTCCTGTGCACCGAAGTACGCCCAACGTACCTCCGAGGGTACGCCCTGCGTAACCGTGGCCAGCCCCCTTATAAATACCTTGCGAGGGAAGCCACATTTCTCACACCAAAAACCCATTCTCTCTCTCTCTCTCTCTCTCTCTCTCTCTCTCTCTCTCTCTCTATAACTTCTCTCTAAGCCCTCCAAAGCCCTAGTAACCTCAAGGTTCTAGAGGAAATCCCCGGAGCACCAGAAGGCTCCGAGAAAAAGAGCTTTCGGCTCGGAAAGTTCCGCCCCCGTAGAGCCCGGTTTCTAGCAAACCTCCCGGTAAGTGAGTTGTGCTTACCCTACTTTAAGTATAGCTTAGGTTTTACTTTATTATTGTTATTATAAACTTATAAACAATATATATATTATAAAATATAATGTATAAAGTGTTATTATAATATTTTTTTAACTACTCGCGGTACGGGGAATCTGGTTTGAAGGGCCGCATATGGTTGTTGGATTTCAGAAGTGCTATAATGTCAAAATGGTCCTGCCTTCCGGTGTTTCATGACTGGCCCCTGTCTGTACATATTGGTTGAAAAGTATTGTTTAACACTTATAAATAATAACGCTCGTAAATAGTCGCAATAAATATTAGACTAAAATCTAGTGGTAATAATACTAGGTTTCGTCGAAGGAAATTGTATTGTTAAGAAGCGAAGCGCTGTCCAATTTGAAATCACCACCTTATCAAGTGAGTGCATAGTTACTTTCATCTTACACATAAATATGAAGTATTTAATATAAATTACGTGCTATGTGTGCATATTATCTGTGTTCTTGATATATATGCTGAATGAACGATTTATACATGTTTTAAATGATTTAAACTGTATATGTATTTTATATCTACGAATATGTTGGGTAAAACATGGGTAGATGAAATAGTTGATGTGTGGTGAAATAAAATTATGAGAGGCCTCGATGTTTACGATGATCCAGTCATCTAGCGGAGTAAAGATGACGACCACGGACTATTCTAGACAGTCAAATGGAACGCTAGCAGACCCGCAACCTGTAGGTGTTTATTTGAACTACGTGTTCACCAGGTGTACTCCATCCCCTCATGGTTGCCTTATTTTACATGTATTGTTGAGGAATCCCCTAAGCAATGTTGTCCACCCTGATGAAAATCCTTAGGCTAAGTCCCTTATAATTGATGCTTTAGGGACGTAAAGTGAGGATAACGGGAACGGGTAATCGGGTTGAATGATTTGATGAAATTAATAAACTTAATTATTGTGGGTTGAAAACCTTATGTTCTCACCAGGCTCCCAAGCCTGACCCACTCAGTTTATTGCATTACAGGTAGTGATAAGGGAGCACAGGAGTGATGATCGGATTAGAGATCAATGTATTATAGGCCATTAGAATAAATAGATGTTGTAAGGCCTATGTTGTTTTCTGTTTATGCTTTTGATCTGTATTTACAATGACATCCCGATGTTTTTAATATAATGAAAATACATTTCTTCGAAAATGCTTTGATAAATTCTTTATCATATATTTGGGAACAAATTCTGCAACGTATTTCTTTAAAAGTATACTCTTATTTTTAAATAAAGCATAAACAAAATCGGTCTTTTCTGGCCATGAAATTGGGGATGTCACATTCGACCCTAACCATAGACTATGTGTGACAACCCGAAATTTTATTCTTATAAAAGTCAACTTTGGTCAAACTTATTCCTTCTATTATCTTAAAGTGGCTAGATTATTGGTTTGTAAGTATATAAGCCTTGTAACTAGTGTGTTATAGTTTGGAGAGAAAGGCCTTAAGAAACCGAGAGCCTTCGCATGGACCACAAACCTTCGCAGCCGTGAACACTTCCGAGCCGTGAACTCACTTCGGTTTGCGGCCATGAACTCCGAGTTGTAACACTAGTCAAAATAGGTCAATAGACAATCACATGTGATTATGCCATTCATGTAATGTGATTTTGTTAAACTAGTAATGTGATAAGAGTGCTATGTAGTTCATGATAAATTCTAATACAAATATGAACTTTCTTTATGATACAACTCAAAGTATATGTCCATACGATTCCAAAAATATAGAGAATGTCTGAATCTGACTTCGCATGAAGAAGTTATGATAAACCGAACACTATAAATCTCTATAATAAGAGGAATTTAAAATAGACTTAGAATTAGCTATTGGAGTCTAAAAGAGAGTTGTAGTACTTGTAAATACCTATGCGTGCATATAAAGAACGTCAAGAACGGAGTTCGTATGTGAAAGTTACGACCTTCCGAAGATTCAGCTGTCAGAAACTCTAATCTGACTGAGCTCACGACGTGAGCACAGAACTCACGACGTGATGAGTCATTTTGCCACATCTCGGAATCTATAAGGTGTGTGACGAGGCTGCGAGGGGATAAGATCCAAACTCACGACGTGAGTAAGATATCTCACGACGTGATGAGTCACATGGCCACCTTCCGAAGCTAGGGACGCAAATGGCAAGTCTACGGGATGAGCATGCATGACTCACGACGTGAGCCTTATAAAACTCACGACGTGAGAGTCCAAAATCCTTACTATAAATAGCAGGTCCGACTTCAGCTATTCCTTACACTATTTCCCTTTCTCCTCTCTCCTTTGCTGAAGCCATCTTGCATCCCGAGCCCCGACGACCTCGTACGCTGATCGTTTCTACTTAGATTACATAAAATCACGCTACTAGGGTGAGTTTCACGGCCCCACTTTCTAATATTTTCGGGGGAAAAACGCATGCTAAATATTGTATATACATTACTATTATGTCTATATGATGGTATATTAATATCAACGTAGATAGTTATATTAACCGGGATATAGTTATTCTAAATATAATATTTTGAATATATACAACTATTATCAACTTGTTATCATGTTATTATACTAATGTAGATCTTGAGTTATACTTAAGATTCTATATATGTTGTGTGCGATATAGTTCCGAAGTTATATTCGGAAGTTCTATATGTTAATTTATAACGTATGTTGCTATTATTGGTTTTATGTCAAGATAAATCTTGGTATGCTATATGTTGTTATTGTTAGTTTTATGACAAGATAAAACTTGGTATGTTATATGTTGTTGTTGTTATTGGTTTTATGTCAAGATAAAACCTGGTTTTACTTCAAGTTATAGCTGTTATACTGCCTAAATGTTATGAAGTTAGGAGTAATGTTTAAAAGCATAGTCTAGTAACTTAGGGTTTTAGACATGAAAATGCTTTTGTTGTTAGAGCTATAAGAAGCCGTCGAAGTCTA